AAAATCTAGTTCACAGTAGCCATGTGGAACCTTGTCCTGAAGGCCCGTGGCTTCTTCTGCCTCACCTTAACCTGTATATATAAGAAAGGTGTCAAAAGGAAGAATAAAGCAAACTAGTTTGAAAGCTTATCACCTTGAAAGGCTTAGAGGTTGCTAAACTGTTATAAAATGAAAAATATCAAAATTGAAGGGAAAGTTTGGGCCCACTGCTTAATGAGTACAGTAGCAATTTTAAAATAATTTTCATTTTCTTTTAAGTATTTTTTAATTGCCAGAAGGTGAGTACACTTGCCAGAGAGAAAGAGAAAGGGAGAACAAGAAAGAAGTCCTCAAAGAGGTGTGGCTGTGCCACAGTCCCTTCTCCTCCATGTCTCCATCCTGTCAGGATGTGGGGCACACACACACACACACACACACACACATGCCCAGAGTATTTTTAAGCTGCCAGGTCCAGGATTCAAACCTGGTTGACCATGTGGAATCTGGGTCCCTTACCACTAGACTAAGGGGCAGGCCCAATGTTTTAAATGTTAAAAGTTTCTTGCCCTAGGGAGGCCAGTGAATAGCATTGCTGGACTCTCACATGGCTGCCCATGGTTTGAGTCCCGGATCTGGTGGCTTGAAACCTACACTGGGCGTGTGTGGTGGGTGTGTGCCCAAGATCTCAGAAGGAGAATGGAGGAGAAGGGACTGCAGTGTGGCCATTCCCCCTGGGGGATGATTTCTCACTTTTCTTTTCACTGTATCAGCAACTCACATGATTTAAGGCAAAAACCCCTAAAAACAATGTTTCTTGCCCTAGAGACAGGAGATCTATCAGATCTAGCTCTGTAAGTCTATGACCTCTTGCAAGTTACTTTTTTTTATCTTCACACTGCACTTTCACACAAGGATATGAAGTAACAAGGTTTCTAAAATTCCTTATAGTTGTAAAAGTAGGTGTCCAAAATTTCTGTACACATATCCTATGAGAAAGGCACCCTGCTAAGTACTCAGTGAGGTGGAGAGGAGAACCTAGAGCTGGCTTCAATAAGCCCATGCTAATTAAAAACAAACAAACAAACAAACACAGGAACACAGATATCTACAACTCAAGGCAGGAAGGGGTCTGGCCATCCAAGCAGTACTGACATGGGACTTTCAGTTGTGGAGGTGAAGCCTACCTTGCTGGGAAGGAGGGGCACCCATCCTGCTTCAACGTAGCCAGTACAGAGCACCTGTCATGGCACAGCAGAGAAAACACAACTATGACCAAGACAAAGAGAGCCCTGTGCTCATGGCACCTACAGCCTGTCTGGCAGGGGGTAGACATTTGGGAAATGAGGCGGAAATCCCAGCACAGGGACCCGTGGAGCAAAGAGAGAGAAGCAGAGCATCATAAGCAAATAGCACTGGGTCCACAGCAATGTATACACAGAGGGAAGGAGAGCACAGTAAGTAGCAAGAGAACAGATAAAGAGGTAGGATGCAGCTGTCATGGCGCCTCTGAAAGACCAGGCTCAGTGGTTCCACCAATAGCCTAACAACTCCAGGTGACTGACTGCGTATTAAACTTCACGAGATCACTGGTTTGTATCTACGTATGTTTTGTTGTTCTGTAACAAAAAGAAAGGTAACTGAAAGAAAATGAACCAAAACATGTAATTTAAATAAATTTATTTGTAAGAGGAAAACATCTGCACATCGGTAGTCTGACCCACAATGACCCAACAGTGTGGCACGACTCATTCTGGGAGTACTCTCACGCAGTTTGCAGGAAAAATTCGACACGGACCATCAGCTGAGCCTTCACCAAAATCACAAAGCCATCGAACCTGAGTATTATATAATACATAATGACCATGACAGAGTAATAAAAATACAGTATCAAATACGCACTACTTTATGAGTTACAAACTACAATATAAACAATTTAGGCCCCTTTTTAAAACATGAAAAATATTTCTTATTACAGCCTTATTTCAAGCATTTTCAGTTCAATGCAGCTTTGTCTGTTTTAACTCACAATAGACAGTATGAGAACTCCTCCTTAAGTCTCTGCAGGTAAAATACATCGCTTGTTTCCATGTTTGCATTCTGAAGTATACTCTGACATGTCTAAGTTCAGGTAAGAGAATGAAACTGTGCTGTGGCAAAACCCTGCCTGATGATGATCAAGACTTGGGCAGTTCTCATTCAGGGTTCAAAAAGTTGACATCAGAGGGAAAAAAAGTGAGGACATAAAGAGAGTCAACATCATTCTTCTTCAGTGAAGCAGTCAAATTCCAGAAAATGGGTTTTCCATTTGAATTCAAAGTGTGTGGTCCCAAAGTTGAGTTATTTTCAGTCCAAGTGATCTTCACTGCCTGTAGCAGTGAGGCAACATTTGATGGAGTGAGTTGGGAGGAGAGTGTGAGCTGAACTACAGAGATGGTCACTGATAAAACAAGTTCCTAGAAGTCCTCAGGCCCACCCAGAGGCGAAGGGCAGCCACTGTCAACAGGAGAAAGAGCACTCACTGCACTGCACACATGGAGCTTCTGGGAGGGTTAACCGTTCTTGACATAGGTTCCTGGTTGTAGTTTACAATATCTGCCTTCACCACCCTCTGTCATAAAGGAAAACAGAGTTAATATTAGGACATTAGAACATTTAGAAAGAGCTCCTTAAAGTATATTTTTGTTTTCTGAACTTTAGTGAACTTTTCATGATAGACATCATAAATAAAGCAGAAGTCGATATTAAAAGAATCAGCCAGAATAAACAAATCAGAGCTGGTTTCTTGGACTTTTGTTTTATTTCTCAACTCAGATATTGGGGCTTCTCTGATTTTATGACATTAACTTGATGTTATCATGAGTCTCACAAAACTTGACAAGTCAACATGAAAAATTAAACTGGTTTACTGTAGGGTAAGTAAATAAAAATTAATTATTCACACATTTTAATTCAGACTTCATTACTCATTTCAAAGTAAAAACTATCATTATATACCTATTATCCTTAGTCATAACTTTTCTTAGAATATTTATAGCAATTTGTAAGTTAGTGAGAAGAGGATTTATATGCAAAGCTGAAATGTTTTTGAACAGTTCAATTTTCAAAACTTCCTGTTTACTTCCAAGTAGCTCACTAATGAGTTATAAAAAATGATTCTTGGGGTCAGCAGGTGGTGTGGTGGTTAAAGGTGGCTCGCTTTCTCTCTCTCCCTTTCTCTCTGTGATCAAACTGGAAAATAATAATAATAATAATGATAATAAAGTTAAATAAAATAATTCTTTAAAAAAAATGACTATTAACAAAATATGGTGGGGTCAGCAGGTGGCGTGCTGGTTAAGGTACAGGACTCCCACATGACTGACTGAGGTCTTGGACCTGGTAGCTTGCTTTCTCACTTTCCCTCTCTCTCTCTTTCTATCTCTCCCTGGTCAAATTAAAAATAATAATAATTATAAATAAAATTAAATTAATAATTCTTTTTAAAAATATGGTAAAATGAGAAATTTAGAAAATTATCTCGCATTCATGTTTTTAAAATAATTTTAAACTTTTAACTCTTTCCTTTTTCCCTCTAACCTGCACTTCAAGGAATATCTGAAACAAATTTAGTAGTAAGTAATCATTCAAATTAAAACAAATCCTTTCATGTTTTCTAGTTTACTAAGTCTACACATACAAGAGGACAAAGACAAGAATTCAGGGCAAATTTTTAAAATACCCTTTCAATTACCTGGCTATTTCAGGGAAAGTGGCAAGAAACAAATCATGAAATAACTCCCTAATTCCCCACTTCACTACACATATAATAAACACAACCATAAAGATAAGTAAATTTGAAAAAACTAAAATATTTTAATTTGTTCTAATTTCTCGTATAATTCATAAGTATCCTAGCAAAAGAACAATTTTTCAAAGCTCTAAAACAGGACTTAAGCAATATTGACTTCCAATAATGTACAATAATCATCTGAACTTCTTTACTCATAAGGAATAAAGAACAAGATAGCATTCATTATTTCCCCCTCCCCCTCCCCAAATTGCAGAAATGTATCCATTAATACCTGCACTACTGAACTGAACAGATTCTACTATGAGCAGAGCTGGTATGTTGATTATCTTCTTCCGGGTACTTCACTATTTCTGCCCTGACAATATGCTGTCAATTCCATACAACAGAAGACAAAGGAGAAAGAAAAAAACAAAAAGACAAAAGGGAAAGTATGTTCAATGACTGAAAATAGAAACAAACACCAAAGTAGAAAAAGAAAATTAACACATAAATTTAAACAAGTCACAAAAGAAACAGCAGAATGTATGCATACAAAAGGAAAGAAAAGGAGCAAAGACCCAAGAAACATAATTCTTTATCATTCCATTTCATTTAATTATTGAAATATGTATGTCCACTAAACTTCCCCAGTTGTTTTATTTTTGACATTATCACTACACATAACATATATAATGCCCAATGTTCAAAGGACAATGAAGAATTATAGTACATTCCTATGCTAAAGTAAGTTTGTCATTTCCTCTGACAAACATTAATGAGGATACACCATGTGCCTGGAAATACATGGATGAGCTATATAAAATCTATTCACAAGCTGCTGTGGCTATAATGGGGAGAGAGACTCAGGCACCAGGCACAGCTAATAGTCACGCAAGTTAAGTTCTTTACTTATGAATTTACAATACACTGCGGAAACACAGAAAAGGAATAGTTCATTATCTTTGAAACTGAGGAGAGAAATAAGAAATCATGGGGTCCAGCATGAGTCCAGTTAAGGCACTGGACTCTCACATGGCTGACAGCAATTCAAGTCCCGGACCTGGAAGCCTGAGAAACACACTGGGCTTGTGCGCCTGCATACCCAAAATCCTGAGAGGGAAATGGAGAAGAGATTGAGGCAAGCCTGTCCTCCCTAGGGGGTGATTTCTCACTTTCCCTCTCAGTGTCTCTCTCTGTCTCTCTCCCTCCGGCGAGTACACACACACTCTATGTGTGTGTGTGTGGGGGGGGGGACCTTAAAAAAAAGGAAAAAAATTAGAGGAGGTCATATGCAATTTTTATATTTAATAATATTTATTACTTGACTAAAACATTCTTTTGATGCTTACTCATCCATTTCTCCTAACTCTAACCTCCATGCTTCCAAATTTCATATAGAAATAAACAAGTTCGAAATGCAATTGAGGGTTATGTAAAAACAATAATCATAAGGGATCAACAGTTGGTGTAATGGCTATGTTGCTGGACTCCCATGTAGTCAACAGCAGTTCGAGTCCCAGACCCGCTGGCTTAAACTCACGCCCGGTGCGTGTGCGGCTGCCCAAGATCCCAAGAGGAGAATGGAGGAGAAGGGATTACAGAGTGGCCATCCCCCCTGGGGGGGGGGTGACCTCTCGCTTTCTGTCTCTCAATCTCTCTCTTTTGGGCAAGTGCACGAGCCCTATAGCAAAAACCTCTCCAAAAAAAAACCCATAAAAGACAATATTTAAGCACAAGTTGCTTTTAATATCTAAGAGTTCTGCTAAGTAATAAAATCTACATTAAATTTTTAATTGCTATATCCCTTAACATGAAAAGGCCACACTGGGCAAATATGTATGATACAGATAAGTGCTCCTGATTTTCATAGATTTGAAACTATCCCAGCTTTTCTATGATTACAAATATCTTACCAGAAAGTCCTTTCTTCATCATAGTATCTATTAACTTATTAACACATGAAAAAGCACCTTAATATAGATTACGGTTAGTGATGACATTTATAAATAAAGATATGATAAAGCACTGAGAGTAAATGAACAGGATACTGAGGTATATGAATGTATTTGCCTTGGGTGGGTTCTGCTTAAGTTCTATGGCAAACAGTATTAACTTTGGACAAGACTCATGATTTACTAGGCACTTGGCCTGATGCTATCAACAGAAGCATTAACAACTGCCAAATGAGGTACAAGGCGCAGACATCAGTGAAATATTGTGCATCATTATCCGACCTGACCAAACCTAACTGTTCCATGCCAAACCGTGGGTTACAATGAAGGGAAGGGATTTTCATAATCAGTAAGCAACTCATGAAACCACTGCAATGTGTGTTAAACCTCTCCTATAAACACGACCAGTTTACTGACTGCTCAAGACATTTTGGTCAAAGTACTGACCAACATAAATGACTTGGATTTTCATTATTCATTTTCATCATTTAATGAGGAATTAATAATAAAGTAGCATCTTTCTTAGAGGCCTTCCTGTTTCACATGACACTTTCTGCAATGTTTCCAAAATGGAATAAAGCTCTTCAGATTCAAAAATGCCTCCTACAAGGAAAAAAATGTAATTCATAAACATGGTAGATGGCTTCACAGTAATCATGTACTTCTGAGACGCTGATGTTTTCAGAGAAAATGCCGCTTGCCAAACACAAACCTTTATTTTTAGAGTCAAAAAGCACACACAATTATTCTCTGCTATCACTCAATGGGGTGAATAATGCAATGGTCCAAAAAGGAAAGGAACCATGTGGGTGAAATACCAGTGTAAATGTGACTTTGTCAAAGAGCATTTGAAGTGGATACTGAAAATGGAGGTGGCAACTATCCAGAGCACAAGCAGGAAAGCGACGCAGGAGCTGGGACAGAAAAGTATAAGGAATACAGATGGACTCTTGGGAAGATACTAAAGGCAAATTTAGTCAGCTGTGCAAATGTACCTTAATCTAGATAACACTAATATATCTTTATCATTGCAAAATCCATAGTTTGCCTGCCCAGTATATGGAGTAAAACATCTGCTGCTAACACTCATTAAAAGACAATCACTATTCTAGGTATTTTAGACATTTAGATAAATAATGTGTGACCTCTATATTTGAGATACATAAGAGTTTAACATAGGAAGTCCTTGCCAATGCAAACAGAAAAGAGAACAGTTAGAAAAGTGCTCACACATCTATGCTTATTGTGGCATTATTTACAATTGCTAAGACATGGAACTAACCGAAATGTCCATGAACAGAGGAATGCCTTGAAAAAGTGTAGCACATATACTCTACGGAATACTACTCAGCCATAAAAACAACAATACCCTGGCATTTGATAGAAAGTGGATGAATATAGAAGATTTACTGTTGAGTGAAGCAAGCCAGGCTATGAAAGAGAGACATTATATGTCTCCACTTAACATATACCAACTGTCCACACTCTATGGTGGAAACTGAAAGTTTAGAAGATATAGAAGTATAGACAGAACAGCCCTTCTTCAAGAACCAGCTCCATGGCTCCTGCGATCTAACCATTTTGGGGGAAACAGAGGAATGAAGAGGTCCCACTGATAATTCAGCCTCCAGTATAGAAAACTCACATGGAGAGGTTGAAGGGAACAGAACAGCCCTTCTTTAAGAACCAGCTCCAGTGCTCCTGCGATCTAGGCATGTTGCGAGGCGCGGTTTTCTAATTTTGGGGTATTTTTGAAATTTTCTGAATATTATTTATTTTTTTTTTAGTTTTATTTAAAAGTTTTTCTCTTCATTTTTTTCTTTTTTTTTTCTCTTTTTTTTTTTTTCTGCTGTTGTTGCTTTTGTTTCCCTCTCTCTGTTTCCTTTTCTACACACTCATTGACCCTCAGATTGAACTTCAAAGTTTGGGACGAAATCGACCAACCACGAGATGACTAGAAATTGTTGCAAGACCACAAGAAAGGGGAAGCAGGAAAATACCTCTCCTCCAAGGGAAAAGGATAACTCCTCTTCATCCGCACACAGTTCAATGGAAGTCATGGAAATGTCTGATAAAGAATTCAGAGGATTCATAATGGCAAAGCTAACAGAAATGGAAGAGAAGAGAGACAAGGAACTGCTGAAGAGGACGGAGAAAGGAGTTGAAGAGTTCCAGAAGGTGAGGAAATTCATGCAAGATCTAAAAGAGGAATTTCACACATTACAGAAGAATCAGATGGAACTGTTAGAGATGAAGGCTATAAGACAAGAAGTCAAAATTTCCCTTGAAAGTATTAAAAACAGACTAGATCATACAGAAAATAGAACCTCATATGTAGAAGAGAAAATTGCTGGCCTAGAAAAATCCACCATGAAGACTGAGAAAATGGCACAAAAATTTGAGAATAATATACGAGAATAAGTAGATACAATTAAACGTCCGAACATCCGGATAATGGGCATCCCAGAAGGCGAAGAAACTCATAAAGGCATTGATAAACTATTCCATGAAATCCTGCAAGAAAACTTTCCAAACCTAGAGAGGCATTCGAAGATCCAGTCCCAGGAAAGTACAGAGGACCCCAAATAGAATCAACCCAAGAAGATCTTCTCCAAGACGCATTATAGCCAGATTGACCAAAACCACAGACAAAGACAAGATACTAAGACTGGCAAGAGAGAAACATCATGTTACCTACAAAGGATATCCCATCAGGCTAACAGCAGACCTTTCATCAGAAACAATGCGAGCGAGGAAAGAATGGGA